TGATGGAAATGCTAACCTCTTCCAGAGGCAGCCTCACATACATCCCCAAGAACAGCATTCCAACAGTTACCTGGGCATCCCTTAGCCCAGGTTAACTGTCACTTAAAATTATCTGTTACAACAGGAGGCTTCAATTTAAAAAAAAAAACAAAACTGCAAGCAGGCTTCACAAAGAACAAAAAAGGGGACACCCCCACCGCAAAAAAAAAAAATGAGTACAAAAGGTATTCATTAAAATGAGACTAAATTCTCAATAAGTGGATTTGATTACGAACTGGAAAATTCTTATAATTCATTTTCACTTGGCCCTTTGGAAGATGGACCTGCTGGGCATAGTGGTGCTCGCCAGTAATCCAGCACTTGGGAAATGGAGGAGGGAAGATCAGGAGTTCAAAGATATCCTGAGCTACATAGCAAGTTAGAGGTCAACCGGGGCCTCAAAAGGAAAGATTGCCTCAAAAACCAAAAGAAAAAAAAACAAGAAAGAAAAAGGAAGGAGAGAGGGAGACAGAGGCTGGGGGAGGAAAGGAGGTACAGACCTGATGTGTTATCACCTCTCTACTCGAACCCTCAATGTCATGTCTCTCCACGAAGGACAGGACATTTCAGAAATAAGCATGCAGGAGAGAATGTGAAGTCACAAACAGTGACAGAGATCTCACTTCCAGAAAGCTGTAACAAGGTCTTTCATTTTGTTGTCCACTTTTGAGTTCAGATTCAGCTGAAGAATGACATTGAAAGGTTTCTGCCATCAAATTGCCAAAATTAATAGTTCAGTCCTGAAAGATTTATACAAGTGAAATTTTTAAGGAAAGCCTGCCTAAGAAAGTCCATTATTTGGCCCAATATTTAAACAAAACTGTGAGTCTTTTTTTCCCCCTCAGGAAAAATAGGTTCTACTGATCTATATTCTCTGAATCTTTGTTTAAATGGAAGCAAACAAACAACAAAATGATTTTCAAGATGAAGTCCTCTGATCTAACTTCTGAAAAGCAGGATATGTCACATGTATTTTAAATATGCAGACCCTATGGTGGAACTGCCTGAGATCAAATACCAAATTTCCCCACTTCTGTGTTGCAGGAATCGTAAAAGTTCTTATTAATAAAATCAAACTTGGGGCCAGTTACTGGGGTGAACTCTGGAAGGTCAGAGAGCCAGAACAAGCCACAGTTACCTCACCTCACCAGATCCTCCGCTGGTCTTGTTTCCTCAGATTGGAAGCCTCTGAGTCCTCATCCAGAATGGGTCTCAGCTGAACTGCTGCTCAAAAGCCTGAATGCTTAACCAGCCAAATGCTTAACTAGGCCAAAATACTTCCAGTTCCTGGTCCTCACACCTTATATACCTTTCTGCTTTCTACCATCACTCCCTGGGATTAAAGGCTTGCTTTCTGGGATTAAAGGCGTGAGTCACAACCCTTGGCAGTATCCTTGAACTCATGGATTTCTGCCTCTGGAATGCTAGGATTAAAGGCATGTGCTACCACTGCCTATCCTCTTTGTTTAATATTGTGGCTGCTCTGTCTCTGACCCCAGATAAGTTTATTAGCATGCACAATATTTGGGGAAATACAATACCACACTTCTGAGACTTCCTTGGGGCAAATAAACTTCTCCACGCTTCTGTTTTCTAAAGAATGGCCTCCTCCAAAGGCTTTCTGATTCCCTTCATCCTGAAAACTTTTCCACTCCTGGGCTCCCAAGTGATGTAACATAATACCTTTATTGAAGTTTGCTTGCTCCATTTTTCATTTCTTATTGTATTCCAATCCAACCCACATAACAAGTCTTCAAGTTCTTTGGAGCCAATGCCTACATTACTCAGTTCTGTATTGCTGAAGAGCAGATCACTGGCATGGGGCACAGGACACAAAGAAACACTCATCCTTTTTCACAATAATAAAGAGGAATGAGTAAAAACAACCAATAAATATTTATTGCTGTGATCAGGACTTTGTTTGCACAAAACTTACAAAAGCTGATTTTATATACATGTTTCTTTTTCTTTATATATAAATATATTTTTAATTAAATGTACTCCTTGCTCCCTCTCAACATCATGGCTTTTTTCTTTGTTATTAATGTGTATATACACATACCTAAATATATAATATAATCTACTTGGTCCATTAGGTGTTACTTATATGATTTCAGGGATGACCACTTGATAGTGGATAGATAGCCCTGGGATACTCATCTTTTTTTCTTCCTGTTGTTCCTGGCTTTAAGATACAGGGTTTACTCCACCTGTAACCCAACAGTGTATGGCACCAAACCCAGCTTCACATGCTATTCCATTTAATCGTCACAGCATTCTTTTTAGAAGACCACCGTGTTCTTGTTCTAAGTAGGGAAACTGAGCCTGGGGGAGAAGTTAAACTCAGAGAAACAATCTCTTGCTTAACAAGAGAATCGAAAATCTAATAAGAAGATACATTATGTTGGTGGTGACGCTGAGTCAATCAACAGAGACAGAATACAATAGCAAGCTCTTCTTTCCTCCACCATCGAGTGCCCTATACTTCACTCGATTTCTTGCCATGTCTGCTCACAAGACTTTCAGACTCAAGCCAGCCAAGAAACAAAAGCAAAATCGTTCTATTCCTCAATGGATTCAGATGAAAACTGGTATCAAAATCAGGTATGACTCCAAGAGAAGACACTGGAAAATGAAGCTGGGTCTGTAAGAATTCACACAATGGCAATACTGAGGGTTTACACCGGATCATGGTCATTAATCAATCCTCCCTGATGGAGGTGACCATTTTTAACCTGGAGACTTGGTCATGTTTCAATTGGTGGTGTGGTTTTTCCAATAATAAAATGTAGAACCTTTCAAAAACAAAAAAAAAATTACAATGACTCAGGGAAGCTGAAAAAACATTAAAATGCTCCAGATAACATGGGAAGTATTTACAGGAAAGGCTGCAGCAAGCCTGGGCTGGCAAAGTGGGATATTGTCAACAGTTGGAGATAGGAACATGGCAAAAAGCCATGGCTTCCCTCCCAGTACCGGTTTTTCTAGTAGTCTTTGGCAGGTTCAGGGACTCATCATCCCCACTTAAGCACTGGAAGACTTACAGTTGTACTAAATACACTCATGCAAGCAGAACTTAACTCACAAAATTATGTAGCAGCTCCACACTGTCTATTGTCTTAGAAACTACAACAAATGTATTCACCACAATACCCATGTCACTTAACAACTAAGTCTTTAGACTGGATAAGGAAAGTCACCAAGAGATATCAGCATTTCTCTCTACCAAATACATGTAAATATTCTGGTCTTGATCCAAATCCCTGAGTGAGGCAGACACATAAAAACCCTCCTTTCGTAGCTTCCTCACTTAGCATGTCCAAACATGGTGCCAGGTCTGAAGGTCCTTCTCTTCCTCAGCCTGCATCTCTTGCAGGAGGTGAAAAGCTCCATAGTCCATCTGAACAACAATGGATATGAGGGTGTGGTCATTGCAATTAACCCCAGTGTGCCAGAAGATGAAAGACTCATCCAAAGAATAATGGTAAGAAGGGTTTCATTATCTGTGTATTAGCATGTCAGTAATTCTTTTTACCTAGGTATTTAAACACAGAAAGAGAGAGAGTTATACTCTCCCAAAACTGCTTTGACTGCATTTATCATGTCTGCAGTATAATCTACAAGTCAAGATGCTTAGCTTTGTATTTTTATTATACATTACAACTACTGTTCAAGTTCTTATTAAGTTATTAACTAAACTTAAGATAATAGACTTTAGATCAAGTGGAGAAATGTTCTCATATTTTATCTTAATGATGTTGCTTTTACAAAATCTATACAGCAAATGTATACTTCAACTCTAGCAGTTTATTGTCTGACATATTTCTCCAGTTGCTCCCACATGCTCAACTTTGGAAAACCTAAAATTCTTCTCTATCTTACCTTAAAGAAAACCTTAGACATGTTTGAAGTTGATTTATTTCTAATTGCATTTGTATAATAAAACCATTTGTGTAATATGTTCTTAGATCCTCTCAAAATCTCCATATGGTTAGGATCACAGGGTTTTATTCCTCTATAAATGGATTGGTTTGTCAGATCATAGCAAGTAGCAAGCTGAAAAAAAATCAGTCTTATTTATCTTTATTATTAGCACTTGGGCAATGCTAGAATGACTCAGTAGGCTATATATACAGATGTATATGTAGAAATGTATACATACATGTAACAATGATAAAGATGAGTTCATGAATTTGATAAGGAGAATGGAGGTTACGGGAGGAGATGGGGTATTAAGGAGGGGAGTTATGTGGATTCATATTTGTATATGAAGCTTTCAAAAACTATGTTTTTATAGTCTGGTCTTTTATGTATACACTCTACTTAGGTGATTACTGCAAATAAAACAAAAACAATTCTAATTATCATCAAATACAAATGTTACCAGACCTTAATCTCCCAGTTTGTTTAAACAAC